AAAAAAAAAAAAAAAAAAAAAGGGCAGTTAAAGAAACTGCCCCATACTAAGGCTGTGGTTGTGGTGTCGCCACAGTCAACCCTGGATCCTGGCAGATCAAGGGCTCACAGTGAGCCCGCGATTTTGCCTGGGGGCTGGAGTGACATCCAGCCCTCCTCAGCCAATATAAAACAGGCAGCTGCCCCCCAGCTGCCACACAATGCACTCGTGCTGCCAGTGTGTGACGAGCACACTTGAGTGCTGCTGGCTGCTGGAGCTGCTGCCTGAGGCAACGTGAGGAGGAAGCTGGAAACCTGCAGAGGAGCGCAAGGAGGAGCTGGGCAGCCATAGCCAAGGCAGGGAGCACTCTGCTCCCCTCCCCTCTGGCTGGTGCTGGTCCCACGGGACAGACCCAGGGACGTTGCGGGACTGCGACAGTGCGGCTAAGTGGAATTGGGGCCTGGGGCCCAAATTTTACTAATTTTGGCCTGCCATTTTCTCACTGCGGTGGGGGAGTGCTGCCGAATTTTTGCGGCGGCGGCACTAAGTTTTACGGCGGTGGTACGGAGGTGCTGCCGAATTTCCGCGGCGGCGGCACTAAGTTTTACGACAGTGGTACGAAAGTGCTGCCGAATTTCTGCGGCGGCGGCACTAAGTTTTATGGCGGTGGTGCGGAAGCGCTGTCGAATTCCTGCGGCGGCGGCACCAAGTTTTACATCAGTAATGCAGAGGCGCTGCAAATTTTTTTACGACGACACAAGATTTACGGGGGTGACGGCAATATTTTTTCGTTGAGCAACAATTGGGCATTGACGCAGGGAAGGTGCCGCTAGAGTGGTGTGCTTTGGAGTGGCGTGGGCTTGACGGCGCAGTAACGCGGTGACGGCAGAAGCAATTGGCAGTGACACTTACTGAAAAGTAAGTGAGGGGGTGCTGTGGCAGGTGATCGCAGCAAGAGAGTGGTGTCGATCACTTTGGTGACGCCGTCACGTCAACAGGAGCGTAATTTTATACAGTCTTCTTGAGTGCACCGTACTACTTCACTCAAGGTCAGTGGTCAGTCAGTGGACGACTCAGACTCCCTTCACACCTGTGTGCACCCACACATTGCTTGACCCTTTTGCTTTGAACGTTCAGGAGAAAAGGTTGAGTGGGATTGTGGGAGTCATGCATGAGTGAAAAGGTGGGTCTGATGCCAGTAGTGGGACTTTGCTCGTCTTCTTTTGATTGTGTTATCTGTGTGTTGTACAGGTAGGTAGAAGGGTGCTTGGAAAGGAGATTGATCATGGCTATTTGAGGAAAGGAAAAATGATTATCTTCTTTACTTCTCACCTGCCTGCACGTCAAAAAGGTTTCCTTGTTTTGAAAAATATCACCTCTCTCTTTTTCGTCTAAGGTACCCTAAACTTACGGAAAAAAAAACGGGAACAGTTAAAACCTGTTTGCGGTGAACACATGCTCATCTTTGAAGGAAGCATCTGGGGCAGGGGTTCGTTGCTTAAGGAGCCGACCCTGTTATCGACCCGGAGCGGACCGTTCTACGGGGGGGGTACTTTGTCGATTCGGTGGAGATGGCCCGACTTCTGAGATCCAAGTCTTGTGCTCGGGCGAGGAGGAGGAGTACCCCAGACCACTTCCTAGAGGGAGAGGCATGCAACACCTCAAGCAACGCCCCTGATCAAGAACCATTTACAAAACAGTTGTCATCCAAGAAGATTGAGAACGTATGAAGACCAGTGTGTGCGTGTTCGATCTTAGGTCGACGGTAGGACGGAATGAATAACTTTCGCAACGCATCTCATCAGGTCAAAACTAAGGCAACCGATTACCTTATCGACTGCCTCAATGTTATTGTTGATAGTCAACTTATTGTTGGCGGTTGTATGACTGTTTTATGATATTCGACCTAAGGCGGTCGGATTGTTTTTTTATCTTGTGTTGTTAAATGTATCAGATGATGATTTGAATTCTCCCAGTTATTAATCTGGATTGGATGTATATTCTTATCAGTTGTGGTAACTCTTTTTGGTATAATTATGTATGGTTGTTATAAATTTTGTTTGACGAAGTGTCTAAGGGACTAGGATAAATAATTGGGTTTTCACGCTTGGTTGAGACGGCCCTAGTCGACTGGCGTACGCTTCGTACTTAGGAGATCAGTGCCCTAAGGAACGGACGACGTCCGGGTTCAATAGGCATTTTAATCGCGCGTACCTATACTACAACGAGCGAGCAACCGCCCTCGGCCGACCCACCTCTGCAATTGCATGTAAAAGCTTTCGCACGTGGGTCGGTAGCTCGGTAGGGATGCGCCCCTAAGGGTGGTGACAGCCCCTTAGGGAAGCAAGCTTATGCCCCGCGGGAACCTGTCATGTCGTAGGGGACAGCGGGATGTACAGCTGGCGCACCCAGCTAGAGTGGCGAAGGGACGTCGCAGCCGCGGCCGTCTCGGCGCCATCCCCAAGTTGTCTCTAAGGTTTCTATTTAAACTCCTGCGTGACGTGGCCGGGAGGGCCCGCGCTCGACACCAGTGTGAGGAAACCCGCGGAGGGGTCATTTGCTGTTCGCTCAAGCCAAGGGCTACAGCGCCTGTCACTCGCTGCGCCCGCTTCCGAGGTCCTCGACGACCAGCAAGGTATCTTTTTGGTGCTCTGCCTGTTTCACCCTCCTTACTTGGGAAACTTCGGAAAGTTATTTCGTTCAAGCAAAATGATCATGCAAGGAATATGAGTGTGAGCGATATACATAAAACCAAGTTGCGAAATCACACAGTTGAGCAAGTAGTAGTA